AAGGACGCTACGCCCCTGGTCACTTGGGTTTTATTCGGTGGTTAAAATTCAAATAATGGGCTCTGGATCCGCGTCCATGCAGTCTAGGCTCATAGACTGCCTTGCTGTTGTTGGCGTACGGAAACCGACCGTCGACTCAACTGAGACTCGGTTGCTGTTACGGCGTTTTCCACAAAAGGATCATAAAGACTTCGTTTTACCTGGAGACGTCGTTTTTTTTTTTGTCAACTGGAAGGATGCAGTACTGTATCGAAAAAGTTTTCTTTGCGCGAAGCGAACTCGTTCGCGTTTACGTTGACTGGAATTACGTTGTTATGTTTACGTTGTTATGGAATTTGTGTTAATGTGTTTCGACCTTGTTCGAGCTTTATTCACAACAAAGAAACGATTGCAGAGGAAGAATTCTAACTGTGCGGAAGAGGTCTCGACATAGACGAGATTGCTGCATGATTTCTGCGTTATCCATTCTTTCCAGCATTCAGGGAGCGCCTATTTTTCCTCCGCAAGATGATTGACTCGAGGACGGCAATTACCGGGAGATTGCACAAAAACGACAACTTCTTCCAGGCTTCAATAGCTGGTCCGTGTTTACATGTACCGAGGACCAGAAAGCAAACCATTTGGCCGGCGATATGGATGAAGTAGAAACGTGGATTCCGCGATTGTTGCTTGCACAAGCTCCCGTGTCAGGACCAATACGCGTAGAAGTTCAACTTCACTCTCCGTCTACCAAGGAGACGAGACATGTCTAAAAGTTTTAACGTGTATTTTACTGGAACAAAAGGTAAGCTAAGCTTATGTTAGTCGTTAGTCTCACTCGATAGAAAACAAACAAGCTTCCACGAAATGTCCTCCCACTGACCAGCGGGTGTATAGAGCAATTATTATGTGATTTTACAATATTTAAACTCTGTACTTTGCCATCGTTTTTATTTTGGCAGTATTTTTACTTAAATGGAGACCAAACTAAGAGAAAATGAATTTAAACTGGTTGACACGCGTAGGTTGTGTCCAGTCATTAAAAAAAAAAAAAACACGCACGAACTTCACTGCGACAAAACGTCGTTGGTAAGAAGAAATCACAAACTTCGCAAACACGAAACTGTGATGATAGAAAAGAACACTTGCGCTAACGTCAGGAACATCCTCCATAGCCATGCTTTCTCTAACCTATACCAAGGANTTTTATTTTGGCAGTATTTTTACTTAAATGGAGACCAAACTAAGAGAAAATGAATTTAAACTGGTTGACACGCGTAGGTTGTGTCCAGTCATAAAAAAAAAAAAACACGCACGAACTTCACTGCGACAAAACGTCGTTGGTAAGAAGAAATCACAAACTTCGCAAACACGAAACTGTGATGATAGAAAAGAACACTTGCGCTAACGTCAGGAACATCCTCCATAGCCATGCTTTCTCTAACCTATACCAAGGAGGACCGAGGTGTTGCGGATCAAGTTTATAGCAACGCTTTGATTGATGGCTACATGAATTTGATTGATGGCTATGCCCCCTGGTATTCAGTAGTGGTACACACATGAAAACAACTCAAACAAGAAAAAATTTCTGGATTCCTTTTTCCTGGAAAAAAAAACTATGATGAGGGTAATATTAACGCTCCGATCCTGGAAAACCTCATCATAGTTGGCAGGAACCGATTGTAATAAGCCCCTATAGCTGGCCATACCTCGCATGGCCAGGCAAAATGTTGCCTATTACGAGAACAGCTACAACGGCCCATAAGCTATATTAGCTTTAAAACTCACGGTGTTTAAATAAAAGATGTTGTTGCTAGAAGCAAGGCATTTGCCGACCAAATTCAAGTTTTGTTTGTCCAATGGCCCCATAGAGTGCTGCAACGCCACTGAATTTAATTGGCCACGCCCCATGGTATTTAGCGTTGATAATTAGGAAAACTAGTGGAAAAAGGAGAAATTTCTAGATTTTTTTTCACAATTATGACTTTAATGAGAAACTTACGCTTCGATCAGGGAAATCCTCATTGTAACTGGTCGATGCGTACTGATCTACCGCCTAATGCCAAAGTATTTTAAAATCCAAGTACCAAAGGTGTTAAAACCAACAGCTGGAACCGGGTCATTAAATTTACCCGTTGCCGACAAGTTTCGATTGTTCAATACTACTCCACACATGTATTTACGAGTACGTGGGCCGGCTGCAACGCAGGCTAAATTTGACCGAAAAACACAAGTGAAATGGGATAACAAGCCGGATGACATCCAAGTGACAATCTTTGTCTGCATTAGCCAATGATAAAACTCGATACTCATGAAATGCATGTAGCCAATTAGATACAGGTTTTCGAGAGCTGATACACAACTGTATACCCCCCGTGATCTTGCGGAGTCCGAAAGCAAATGCTCATCTTCTCGTCAATCATCTGAAAGACTCCCACAGTGTGTCTTAAATGAGTCCACGCGCTCGCTACGCGGGCAACACGAGGAATTATTAAGAACATAGCAAAATATCTTTCATGAAGTCATAAATTACAACAATTAGATAATAAAGGTTAACGCTTGACCTGGCCTGACTATAAAACGTCGCAATGAACTTATGCATGAGTCACGATTTGTAAACAAAAAACAAATAGTTTTAGCAGCGCTCGATCATCCTGAGTAGTGCAAAAACGATCTCATTATCACTTGCAAATATACCGGCTTGAAAACCCACATTACCTTGCATTCTTGGTTTAAAGCCTTTTGCTTTTCTCCCGACAATATTTTTGTATTTCATCTGGTGATTTTTAAAATACTTCGTCTCCTTCTTGATTTATTACATCTATTATACCACTGCATGAGAAATTTCTGCAATTTGATTGGCTTAGAGCAGTGGTATTTCAGCTTAATTTGAAATACCTACATGTGAAAATTACAAACCTTTTGCGGGTAGTGGTATAAACAAATAATAGCATGATTTGTACGTGATATTTGGCATAAATACCACTCGTGATATTTCAAAATTGTCTCACATAATTTTTTTTTTCTCCTAATTATATCAAGTCATGCAAATACAAAAATTTAATTTACTATATTGTTTATTTACTATTCTGACATGTTAACACAAGTCAAATATATGTGTAAATCGGCGTCCTTAGCGATACGTGTTTCTGGAAAGATTAGAAATTACTTAGATCAACCCACTGCAGATAAGCTTGTCCACGCCTTCGTAACTAGCCTGCAGTGCAGGCGTATTTTGGGCGGGCGAAAGCTGCTTGTTTATGTTCGTATTGTAGTAACCGCCATCTTTGTTATGACGGAGAAAGATAAGGGAGAGTACAAATAGTAACCCTAGGGGTAGGTCAGTGAGGGCGAAAGAAGGAAAGAGGGGAGGGGGATTTCTCTTCTCTCTCCCCGCCCCCTACCCCGCTCCTTTTGACTCCCCCATTTTCTCCCCTTTTTTCGAGTTTCAACAGGCGCTTTCGCCTGCCCGAAGGAAACACCTGCACAGCAGGCTACTTCGGAACGAGTAAAATTGACTTTTGAAACAGTCTCTTATTTGGTTTCTTGAAAAAGCAGCTTGATAAATTGTAATGTATTCTAAATGCCGCTGCTAGAATTACAGAGACTCAAAGGAATTTCAGCACATTTCTCCGGTATTGCATAACCTGCATTGGCTCCCTGTTACCAAAAGGAAGGTATTCAAGATTCTAACCATAACCTACAAATTAGCACTGAATGGAATGGCCCCGTCCTACATCTGTGATCTACTGCGGGTTCATCGCCCAAACAGAAATCTTCGGCACGGTTCTGCATCCACTGGTCTATCATGATCATTGGTAGTACCTAGTCATCAGACTCAGGCATACTCGCGGTGCTCGCTCTTTCTCTGTAGGTACACCTACTCTCAGAAATTCCATTCCTTTCCAGTCGACATTAAAAACGCGCAAACTTTGTTTCTCTTTAAAAGAAAGCTTAAGAAATTATTTTTATTTAATCAATTCTTACATTTGTAAAGCGCGCTGAGATTATGCAGCTGCGCTCTATAAGAATTTTACTTTTATTATTATTATTATTATTATGTTATTATTATTATTATTATTATTATTATTATTATTATTATCACCATTAAATATAAGGGACGAAGCTTCACATTCAAACAAGTTATGCGAATGTCCATGGAATTAATGATACGAAATAGTAAGCAACAAAATTCCAATTTGTTCGTTTCGATGTTATTTGTCAATATGCTACAAGTATCAGGCCCTAAATACTATTCAATAAATATAAAATGCAACGTCTCTCAACTACTGTTTTTCGAGAAAGCTTCAATACTGATAACAATAACAAACGTAAAGCTTAACCCCAGTATCAAGGTCCTTGATCACTAAGCTTTGCTAACGAGACTACTTCAATCCAGGGACCATCAGTGTGTATAAAGCGTTGCTGCTCGAGCAAATCTCATCGCCAGATTCAGGCAATAAAAAACGTTTTCCGTGTTTGTATAGCCTGACTAAACTCGAAGTTCGATACAGTTATGCGAACCCTCAACTTTGTACAACTTGATTGAGAGTGTTTTTAACAGGCTATACATACACAGTAAAAAAGTTTTAGATTTCTCAAAGCCGACGAGGAAATGTGGGGAGTAAAGAAAAGTTCAAATTTGTGATATTATCATTAGTTACTTGGAATTTTAAAAATAATCATTCATTTTTCAAGTTTCCGGCAAAGTAACATAACCGTCAGGAAATTTTGTTGGTGACCTCACGATACATTAAAATTCTCTCGCATGCATTTAAATGCAAAATGCAAAGAAAAAGAAAAAAACGAGTTTGCACTGTCTTATTAAAAGCAAGGAAAGCAGATACCAGATACAAAACATCTTTGAGTTACTTTTATCATGGGGCAATTAATTTTTATCGTACCTAATTTTTCCTGACCTAATTGTTTCAGACAGCAACAATTTTTATAGGCTTATCAGAAAATGCTCATTATTTATTTACTGAAGCAGTAAAGCGGATCTTAAGTCATTATCTGGATATTTATGTTGTCTCGTAGAATGTTTCTATTTCGTCTGGTGTGAAGCGGTGTGATCCTGCCAGAAATGTTCGGGTGAAGGTGGTGTCGTAGCTATTTCCACCCGTTGGGTCGTAATAAGTATAGCCAAGGTTACTGTAAGAACTGGTCCCGAATGAGGCGAAGCTGGGCAAGTAAATGTCATGTCCTCCTCCGAATGTAGGGCCATATGAGGGGTGAAAATATAAGGACATTCTGCTTGAACTGTATTTCCCTGTCTGAGGCAGTTTAACAGGTGCCCATCCTGGCTTGTTTACCAGTGAAAATAAAAAGGCTTTGGAGTCATACTTATACCTTTGGTAGTAACCTACTAAAGAGAAAAGGAATTGAAAAAAGGTGTCATTTACGACATTCAGAATCCTGATATACCAGATATACTACATGAGTTAACCATCTTTATGCCGCAACTGCTAAAGTATGCGATGAATTAAATAATAAAAAAAACAGGGGGCATGCCTGATTAATGAACTTTTGACTACATTTACTGGATAGTGAAATCGATTTCTTTAAGAAATTTCATATAAAAATAAAGTAAATAGCGCGTGAAATTAGAAAAACGAACTTTTGGAACACCCTGAAGTATATGTTTCTTCTTTCCTGTGTGGTTCCCGAGGCTATTATTTAACAATTAATGAATGAGGCTGAGTATCTTATGAAGAATTATGGAGATCGAGGGGGGTGTTATCTGTCGAGGCCGTAGGCTGAGGCCGGTAACACCCTCCGAGATCTCCATAATTCTTCATATGATACGAAAGCCGAATTCAATCATTGCTTTATTATTCATTCAAAATAATTCCTAGTTTAAAAAACAAAGCTAAAACATGCTTACCTCCATCGATGTTAAGTTCACCTTCGATAGTGCACGTTTAGGGTTGTTCAGCTTCGCAAATATTCTCCTTCGAGTTGTGTTCTTGCTGTTCTTGCCATGTTTTTAGCTATAATTTCGCCTAGTTCTTACTCTTGAAAAGAGTGAAATGTCCGCCATTTTTTTGTTTTCACAACCAAAACAACTCAACCTCGTCCCCAGGTCTTCTCGGTTAACGGTGCATTAACCTATAAGAACGCTGCATTTTTGACGTCATTTCCTCGTTTAACACCAAATTCTTCTAAATTTGGTCATCAGTAACTGGTTATGGTGAATTATGCGTGTGCTTTTAGCCAACCAGAAACGGGGAAATATTTTGAATGAAAAATAATTATAGTTATTTTATGCTTGAGATGGTTTGTTCTTGAAGGGGGTGGGGAAAATTGTACAGAACTACAAAATTGATGCGAATGATATCTTGCCAAATCGAACTAATTAGTCTATAACTGCCCAGTTCACAGTGATGAGATAAAGAAGACTTGTAAGAGCAGTTGTTATGTTACCATTTATTCTTTATTTTAAAGCCTGGATACAATTATACCATTGCATTTTAGTCTAGGAGCAATGGTATTCCCGTGGGATTTTCGTGATGATTTCAAGCGACCAGTACAGAACTGTTAAGGGGGACCTAAGGAACATGTTTAATGCTGTCGGCACTTTTGCATTGCATGCAGAGGATTTTTAGAAGGCATTGAAAGAAGAGCACTGTTCTGTCCTGCATGAGAACTAGGCTGAACAGATAAAACGACTGAAAAATGGCCGTTTATTGGAATTTTGGAACAAACGACAATCAGTTTCCATATTCTGGGATGTCTTACTTAATAAGTAGTTGATAGTGACACTTTTTGCGTGGTCACGTGATCTGAAGTAGAGACTTGATACAATGTTACCCTTAAAGAGTTCTAACGTTAATAACTTTTCCCACTGACAAATTGAAAGCCATATTTTTTAACAAATTTCGACTTTCTAATCTTTCTAGACCTCACTGTCAGGGTCCTCGTCCTCAATTTTTAGTGTACTAGTATCTTCACATGCCTTTTCACAGGGATCATCACTGTCACAGCAAGACTCAGAGGTAGGCGTAATTCAAGCCTGATTTTCGGCAGTGGCATCGATTGTGTGAGCATCGGTTCTTTCACAGCCGCACTTGACCAATAGGACGATTTCTTTAGGAGCAGGTGCCTTTGTCATAATGGGGATCCATTTAACTGGCGTAATTCAAGCCTGATTTTCGGCAGTGGCATCGATTGTGTGAGCATCGGTTCTTTCACAGCCGCACTTGACCAATAGGACGATTTCTTTAGGAGCAGGTGCCTTTGTCATAATGGGGATCCATTTAACTTCCCTCCCATCTGGCTTTGGCAAACTAGGACAGAACACTTTATCATTGTTCGAAACTATCATTTTGATAGTGGGCGCGGAGAATTGCTTCATAAAACGAACCTTCGTTTGGTGGAAGCCTATCCGATACGCCTGACTTTTTTGTGAACATACATGTATGCAATCTTAGTTCCTTGACTTGTGAGATACCGGTTCCAGGCTGATAAAGCTGGTTTATAAACTTCTCTACAAGGACCAATGTCTCGTCTCAGGGGATGCACTGTGGCTCTAAGGCTTCCAAAAGCAGTTATGGTATCTTCTGCTTTCACGAACGTTTTCCAGCATAAAAGTTTCCCTCTAACAGAAAAACGTCCCGTGATATCACCATGGAACGCTGGTAATGCGGCAAGTTTAACACTACCGAGGGCGCTAGCTATTGAACTAAGACCAATCACACGATGGTTATCACCCTGTCTTCACACACAGCTCCGGATAGCGCCTTAGAGGCACAACTAACATCTGTGTCTGAAGAATGGGTATAAGGTCCACTGCACCGTTGGCAGTTGCGTCCAGAGCATGTAACAACATCTTGGTGTCTGCTTCTTCTTGATCACCTTGAAGATGGTTCCCATTTTGTTTTGTTGCACGACACTGGTAACCCCAGGCCCCAACAACTTGTAGATTTGTCTTCATAGCATGATAGCTAGCTAGGAAGTTCTCTGCCAGGTAGCTAGATAGCTCGTTCTTGGTCTTACTATGAGAAAAGCGTGGAATTACTATTACGTTAATATACGGGATCTTGACCAGCCTACCTGTTTACGCAGGTACAATATATGTCTAATATTCAGTCCACTTGACTGAGTCGCAAACTAAAAGCGTTAGTACAAAGTGAAGTCACCAACGTTCTTAAATGAATCCACTGTCGTGCCTGTTTCAATAACAATACAATACTTAAAAGATTTTACTCTGAGACTATGATAAATGATCGTGAGGTTTCTTCAGGATCAACTTGTTACTGTTACAGTTAAGGAATTAAACAACGTTTTCTCGTAAAACTGTCTACTTTGGTCTTTATATCGATAAAACATGTGTTCCTGCCTTTTTCTCTGAGATCCCTCTTAACACAGACACCCGGATAATCCGGACATTATGGCATGTGCCCTTGGCGTCCGTATTAAATTGGTTCCACTGTAGCTGTTCTCAGACACAATGGCAAGTCATATCTATCGAAAATCAGAGAGACCTCATCATTGGACTTGTGCTTATGGATTATTCTGGCAGTAAAGCGCTCATCTCATTGCGAACAGTCTTTCATATCGTCAACAACAGTATCAAAGCGCTCTTTACAAATTGTGAAGCCCTTTACCATCAGGTGCAAACAAATAGCTCGGAACTGACAGAAACCTCGTACTGGCCAATCACTGAAAACACCCATTTTGTGCAGTTATTGATTGCCTACCGCAACAAGAGTGCAGTTTCAAACATTACATTCATTTGTTTTGAATCGTCACTACTTTTCTTTTCTACTAGCTGAATGGTGGTATCCCGTGTCCTCGTAACGCTTAGTCGGTCTGATTTGTTAGCTTTTTTTGGTGGTCGGTGAAACTCCACGTGCACTTCAGGTATCAAAATTTGAGTTAACGGTTTTAGCGTTTTTCGATAGCATACATCCTCATGGACATTGTTTGCTTCAATGAATTCTCCCATAAATAAGCCGCTTGTAAGTCGGACATAGTCAATATCATACCTTTTCTTAAGTTGATCTCTGTGATTGCTGAAAATTCTGTACGTAAGGACTGGGTAGCAGAAGTAAAAGGGCTTTCCCGCGAGACTCACTGCCGTCACAAAAGAAGCACCTATCTGACCTATCTATGTTAAATGGTGATGTTTTGGATGTCTTTAGTCGCGGCGGTATTTCTTCTGGCGCCACGTTTAAAATCTTCCGTCTTGTTTCATTAGGTCCAGCCAACTCTCTCTCTTACCGTTCTCTTGTTCGCCAAAGCATTCCCATATAGACCACGAGCAGTCTCTCTTGCTCGGAAATCTGTGAGCGATTGCGAAATATGAACCTATGGATGGCGTCCTTGCACCACTTGAGCACTGTCTGTGCCACGATGCTCCTTTATCCTTAAGCTTTTGAGCTGTACACGTTTTTAATTTTGACCAACTTTTGAAATATTCTACATGGGCAATGGGTGTAAGACGGCCATTGTTATATGCACGTCAATACTCTGTCATAAGAAGTCGGTTTCTCTACAAGTCGTTCATTTGGCTTAATTTTGAGGTCTTTGGTCTCTCCAGTTACTGTAGAGCTTCTGACATTTAGACTGGGTAAAAGACGTAACGGCAATATGTATCCCAAATGTTCATGTGACAACACACAACACCAAACTAGAAAACTGGAATATGTATTAGCACATGCAATGAAGAAAAAAATAGCCTATTGATAACTGTCATAGTTTGAAAATGGAATTTCTTATTTTATTGTAAAAGCAGTCTAGTTTATACCTGAACTATTAAGTGCCGGGAAAAAAACGAGGAATGTCCACATTTGTTGCAGGACAAATTACTTGTTCTCCCACATTGATATCTATGGAATCTTACTTTCATCGAAGGCAACGTTAACTGGCTTCTTTTGAGCCAAAAATTTGGATTTTTAACTTTTACCAATTCTAGAGGTAATAAAACATTCCTAGATGTCTTATGATATATTACTTTTACATTTACAGAAAAGAACGTGATTGAACAGCCGTTTTTTTACGCATTTCCAAACCTTAGCCTAGTTTTCATGTAAAGCTCAGGGCAATTTGTTCAGTGCCCCTTAAATACCTCCTGCACGAATTACAGAGGTGCCGACAACATAAAACATGTTCCTTAGATCCCCCTCAACACTTCTACACTGGTCGCTTGAAATCATCACAAAAATCCCACTTATTCCCACTTATTTGTGCCAGTTAAGTTGAACGTGTACACTCTGAAATTTTGTAAGAAAAATAACTTTTTTTATTTTTTTTTTCTTAAAATGCCTATTAAGCATTTATCTCTCCACATTGAGGTGAATTTATCTCCGAAAAATGCGTGGTTACCCCCAGTTTTCTTTTTGGATTTCAATGGCCCTATTTAATGGTATGATCTACGTAGTCATTTTCTGGGAAAAAAATACTTCCGGCATTGGTAAGCACCGTCCTTAAAGGCAGATTGATTGACTCCATTGCTCACTATCCGGCTGAACTTTAAGCTTCATGTCAAGTGGAATTCTTTCAACGGCAGGGCTGTTATTAAATTCGACCATTGTTTACATTGTTACTTACCGTATGTGTGCCACGAAACACTAGTGTATCCTCCAAAAATATATTCCCCGACTCTTACTATTGTTACGGTCGGTCCCTTGCCGTCACAACGGGAGTGAAACGTACTTCCAGCCCAGCCGTCCACTGATGCACGCCAGCAGCGCCTCCAGCGAGAATAAATGCTTCTTATCACCAATGAAAGCCAGTTGTTTAAATGGGTTAGATTGTTTCTGTTGTTTCCCACAATAACGGAGTCTTGTAAGCCTAGAAAAATAGTCAACTTCCTTAATTTGACAAAAAAAACTATGGTCGGGCAAAACTGTTAAAAACTCTGCACCAACTGAATTGATTGTTTTTCGAGCAATCAGTAACACTGCAATTTACCCGCCAAGATAACACTTATTGTTATTTTTGTATCTTTTTAAACTGTAACCGTTTATTCTATTCTCACTCCTTATGAATACTAGCTTTGTGGCTAATAAATTGACAACATGGTGTCAAAATGAAAATTACATCAAATATCAAAAAAAAAATAGATTTTTGGAAATGATTATTCTGAGTGTGTAATTCGCTTCTGGCCGTTTCATGAGCGGTTTTGAAGTTTTAAAGAAGGGGCCTCTGAAGCAACTCTCCGGTTGCAGGAAGCAAAAATAAGCCCGGTAGGATTAACTGCTCACCTCAAATCATGTAGTCAACCTAACCTCAAATCACCCGGCACTCAGACAGAGTGATAATTCATCTTTAACATCTAGGATTTAGTAAGACATGTGATTGGGTTAATTTCTCTTACCATTAGGACTACAGGTTCGTCCATCTCCCATATATCCTGGTTTGCAGAAACATATGTAGGACCCAACGGTACCGTGACATATTGCATTGACGTGACAGTTATCAGAGTTATTTGTCGAACACTGGTTCTGATCTAAAGGTAATTCAAACACAACAGACTGAAAATGTTTAATAAGAGTAGATACGGGAAAGGCTCAGAAATGCAAGGATGGTGCATGGTGTCTTCATTATTTTTTTCCGCTCAAGACCCTCTATAAAAAAAATAATGAAAAGATGTGAAATTGATATTCGTCATGTTCACTGAACAGTCGAATCCCGCTAACTCGAACCAAAATCGATTTCCCCTTGATTTCCTTCATACGTTTACTGTAATTTTTACCCTCGGCAACCACAGGTAGCCCAAGCTCGAAATATGAGCATCGGCGAGCATCGGCATTGTTGCGTAACATTCAAAATATAAGGATTTGTATGGGGAAAAAACCTATCGTTTCTGTAACCTACGAAAATGAAAGGATTTCAATAAAAAAAAAACAGCTTGCCTTACTTAAAATGTGTGTTACGTCTCTCCTGTGTGGTCTACGGACCGATTTATAGCCGTTTTATGGGTTTTAATGTAAACGGTTTTCTATATCCATAAAACGACCATAAATCGGCCCGTGGACCACACAGGAGAGACGTAACACACATTTTAAGTGAGGTAAGCTGTTTTTTTTATTGAAATCCTTTCATTTTCGTAGGTTACAGAAACGATAGGTTTTTTTCCCATACAAATCCCCAGTCCTCAGCTGAGTCCTTATATTTTGAATGTTACGCAACAATGCCGATGCTCGCCGATGCTCATATTTCGAGCTTGGGCTACCTGTGCGGCAACTCGAACCTTCGATAACCGGAACCTCCTGCTAACTCGAAGTAATTTTTGTTTTCCCTCAGATCATTTCCAGTATACAATTTTACCCCCAATAATTCGAGCCTTGTTTTGAGCGCTTAAAGAATTTTTGAATTTCCCATTGACGTGTTGTAGGCATTTAGTTTACTAGTGAAGGGTGATGTTGTTTGTCATAAATCTAACTAACAAATCTAGTTTGTCACAAATCTAACGTGAACAGGAGTCAATCAATCAATCAATCAATTCTCAAAACAGTAAAACGCATGCTCTATTTGGGCTATTTACCGGTACCGTACAAATGACTTATTGACGGAATCAAGCAAAACTAACTACGAGAGAACGACTGGACAACTGACAATTTGACTAACAATAAATGACCGTCTAACTCGAAATGCACCAATGACATTACGAGTCTTCATAGCCAATAACATCACGGCTTAAGCGACAGACGTCCAATAACTTCCGGGATCTTGAATAAGACGAGAGAAAAATAAGTTTGTAGTGGTGTTTATCTGCCAAAAGCCAGAGTTTTTCCGAAGTATTAGATGATATTTCGCTTGTGTTAAACGTGAAAAGATTATTCGTGGTTGTCGACAGTCTTAAGTGTGCTCTGATAGGTGGTCACGTGGTTGAGCTGCTACACTAAAATATTCTGTACGAGGCATAAAAACCCTTCGTCGGTGTTAACTTAGTTGATTGCGCCTTAGAAAACAAATTCTCGATTCAGGAAAATTGAATCTAGGTCAAGTTTCAGGGGGCACTTGGCTTTAAACCATAGGCCGATTTTTGCAGATCAGGAGCGGTTCTCCAAATCCTGAGCCTGACCAAAATTCTATTATTCTATTCTACACCCATTTTTGGAACTGGTCTCGGTCTCTAACGTCCATGACAGGGGCCACAAACGCGATGTACCTGTTTATATAGGTGTAAATCATGATGATGATATATTTCGGTCATTATTCATGTATAGGTGAGTAACCCCCCCCCCCCCTCCCCCCCTAAACCCACCTTTTAAATTCCTCCGCCCCCCAGATATTTTACCTCTTTTTTTGGGTTTTTTTTTTTTTTTTTCCCCAAGCTTTTAATTGGATTTTGGGCTTTTTTTAAAATTTTTTCTCTTTTAAACCACTTTTTTTTTTTTTTTTTTTCATGACAGGGGCCAAAAACGCGATTTTCCTGTTTATATATGTTTAAATCATTATGATGATTTATTTCGGTCATTATTCATGTATAGGTGAGTAACCCCCCCCCCCCTTCCCTCCTAAACACAGCTTTTAAATTGCATCGACCACCGATATATTGACCTTCTTTTCTGGGTTCTTCATTGCTTTATATCCCAAGGCTTTCAATGGAATTGTGGCATCTATAAGAACTTTACTCTCTGTAACACCCATACTATTTTTTTATTATTCAATGCCTCTCAATTTCAGATCTTCTGTTGGTTTTAAACTGTAAATTGAATTCTCTTCTAACTCCTCCTTTTTATAAAATTCAGAGTTTCATTTTCAGTTCCCTTGAGCACCACTACTTCAAAGTCACCTTCTTCGTCACCTTACGTATCCGAATCGGTCATGTACTCATCTGGTTGCTATAGGTCATGTATATCTTGTTGTTGGCCTAATTATAAGTTTCAATCCATTGCAACAGACGACGGGAAACAATGTCAATATCAATATCAAACTATAGTCTTAAATCACAAAACTGGACCATTATTTTTGAAATTTAATTGGTGCAGAAGACGTTTTAGCCTTTTTAGATCTTTTTAAAAAGATAGCTGAATAGCATGACATAGTCGCGTGACGCTGGTGGTAAAGTTTCCGCTTTATCTTGAGTTGATTAGCTTCTTATAGTTCGCCCAATTAACAGGTCGAAAGTTATCTATCCCTTCCCTCATCACAATCTAATCTTCTTCAGTCACTGTACCGATGGGAGAGACATAGTTGAGAGTGCTAACAAAGGCATGAAAGTATTAGACACGGGACAATTCGACTTTTCTTGAGTGTAGCCCTCTTCGAATTTGTAGCCTAACCATAGTGAACAAACGGTCTGTTCACTATGGTTCCAAAGTCTTGGGCGTAGTTCAAAGCACTAAATGTTTTTGTGTTGTAGTAACAAATAGACTACGAGCAGTCTCTCTTTTTTCTTGGTCCGTCGAGCAATACGCCCGAGACACGCAAATGACCACGCACGTGACTGAAGGCGCAAGACGGGAAAGGCACACCCTCGTTTCTCGCGCCTCGCGGCTTCGCCGTTCAACGCTCACGCACGCGTGCATTCCTCTTACTAGACTGAAGAAAAAGAGGGACTGCTCGCAGTCTAAGTAAGGAACGGCATGTAAGTTTTCCACCTGCGTTATCAGAAGTTTTTTGTGCCTCATAACAGACTTTGTCTACATCCTCTTTCGCGTCCCTCAAAGTTACCTTTTACGCAGACGACGTACCTTTTTGCATATTTCAAAAGCGTCAAAAGATATCCAAGGGTTTAAACACGAGCTTAATAGTCTCAATACTTAGAACTGCAACATTAGTTACAAAAATGATTTCTCGAAAGATGCTGATTTCTCTGAGACATCAGAAAGCAATTTACTTTTGGCCAGATCCAATGCTGAGAGTCACAGCTTTTTTCTCTGGGTAGTAATGTTTAACTTGACGATCTTTTGGGTCCGTGATATCAGTATTTCCTTTTTCTGAACGCAGAAATCTTGTTAATATTAGAGGACGAATTATTCGTTGAGCTTTGAGCTGTCTACGAACAGCTCTATGACCGACCCTTAATTTCTGTTGCCCGGTACTACCCTGGTGCCTTTTGCATAATTTTATAGTAATATCAGTGAATGTGCCACCGGGTTATCAGCGGGACACAAAAGAGTCAGAAAATAGCATTTGTGTTTGGAAAACTTTGTTACTTTCTTTAACACCAACGATCGTATTTAGTAAAATTAATAGAATATCACTTAACTGTTAACTTTGCGTTTCAGTATCAGTTAACTACTGATTTTTTGGCCAAATATCAGTTAACTGCTAACCCCATTGGTACCCTCTATCAACTTACCTGGCTGATCTATGAACAAAATATAGATCCATCGTATGCCAGCCTAAGCTTATATGTAATGAATTTCAAACAACAACACATTAATTTATAAAACGTTAACAACAGATAAACTGGCACTTGATGATAAAGGGTTACCTGAACAAATCACCGAGGCATCTTCACTGTGATCACAATCCCCTACGCCCCATCCTCTGTGCGGACAATCCGCAATTGAACTTTCAATGCCGGAACAATAGACATCGTCCAGCCAAATCCGACCGCTTCCAGCACCAAAGTGCGCAGAGCCCGGAGCACTAGCAGCAAAAGGAAATCCCAGTTGGCGACAAACTACGAGAGCATCCTTCATATCCCAGCCATCATCACAAACAGTTCCCCAGTTGCCCTTGTGGAATATCTCCACTCTTCCTTCTCCTTTCCAGTTTCCGCCAACCAGCCTTAATTCTAAAAGGGACCAAGACAATTGGCCAGCATGAGAATTTGATTCATTTTATTTTTTTACGTTGTAGCTTCTTGAGTGCACAGGAACCCTCACAATTAAGTGCATCCATTTAACTCCATGATCGCACAACTACAACGTTTACCATTTCTTTTATAACATCTTATAAAGACAACAGGCAATATAGAATTTGTCCGTAGTTAATGAAGCGGAATGGTTAACGTCAATGTTAAATGTTTTTATAACATTCAGTATCATTCCTATCAGGGAGGTCTAGCGTACCCCCGAAGATTGCATTTGAGAAATGATTCCGTTAGTCGTTCCTGTAGCTCGAGTCAAATTCAAATCGCATTCCAGATCAGCTCTACGCTGGAGAAATATTTTGTATAAGTTCTTTATATATTTACTACTACAACATATTTTAAAGAATTCGAGAAAATGCTACATTGAGGATGTTTGCGTAGATTATTTACTTGAACAAATCACAGAAGCATCTTCGTTGTGATTGCAACTTTCTACGCCCCATCCATTGTGCGTACAATCTGCAATTGAACTTTCACTGCCAGAACATCCCACATTGTCCAGCCAAATCTGACCGTTTCCAGCACCAAAGTGCGCAGAGCCCGGAGCACTAACAGCATCAGGAAATCCCAGTTGGCGACAAACTACGCGAGCATCATTTATATCCCAGTCATCATCACAAACAGTTCCCACTTTGCCATTGAAGAAAATCTCCACTCTTCCTTCTCCCCTCCAACGTCCACCAACCAGTCTTACTCTTGGTAACAGGACTGCCAATTTCAAAATATATAACGTCGTGATTATCAGGACAAAAAGTATATTTTTTTGACGACCATCGGGATTCAGCATTTGCATGAGGAATCTGCCCAATTCTGACTCCAATTCTAGTTAGACCCCGGAGAGAATTGTTATTTCAGCTCCTGCGATCATTTGAATTACAAAGCAGAAATAATTCAACATCCTTAGCATTTTTTAAAAAGGGTTTTTTAACTGTGGTCACGTGCTTGATGGCGTTATGATTTCAGAAAAAGAGGAAAACGTACTGTGGCAGGCAATGAGCCATACAGTGTTTATTGACTTGGTGCTTAGGTTCTAATTCTGTAAAGAACAGAGAAAAATCATTGTTTCGGAGAATTCTCTTTGAAAAACCCCAAAGTTTATAAAGAATGTATGAGCTCATTAAAGTATTGCCACCAATTCTTCGTAAATGCCTACCTTTCTTTGCTGTAGATAAAGCAAGAACTAACACTATCAAGAACGCCACAAGAACCTTTGCATCCATTATTTCATCTAAAGAAAAAAGTGATTTCTTTATTAGTAAATGACGCTTTGAAAGTTTTTATTTGGGCGGAGTGCATGTTAAAGACAAGACTCGAGATTGCCTCGGCGGCAGATTCATAATGCCGCGCAATGTAGGCAAAAACTAGTGTTGATCTGAAATAGCACTCGAAACATCAATCAAACCAGGTATGTTTTGTTTACGCGCGTCGCAGATCTGGTCTGATCTTATTTGTAGTCGAAGATTACAAATGCTTTGGTCTGATATTTATTTGAATCATGTTTGTGCGAAGGTTTATCAGATCTGAGTCTCTTCAATCAAAAGTATAATTGGAGGTCGAGCAGTGGAGACTAGTGAAAGCCAATTTATTAGGAATGACGGCGTGCGTATCTGACTGGAAAAAATGGACTGTTTTTTGGAGATAACATTAACGTAAATCAGAACATCGGTACTAGACAATAGCTAGAGCCGCCATGGACAAGTGATTGGAAATTGAGCGGCATGTATTGAAGAGAACTTTTCGACACTGGCTAGCCTATAGAAAGGAACCGCTCTGCAAAACTCGTAGCCGGACAACTCATTTCTTTGCGACGTTTTGACAAGTTTTTAGATGAGATAAAGCCACATAACGTTCAAACAGTTTAACTTAACTGTAAAGAACAAGAAATTTCGCAGCAATCGCTTAGAGTTTCAACCTTCTTTTATCGTAAAGCTTCTTTTATATTACAGTTTTGCAATCGCGTGGAGCGTGTGTTAGGGAAGATTTTTCAAATCTGGTAATCTATTCCTTATCTATCTTGACAGGCTGTCAATTTACAAATGAACCGAACCATGGAATATCAAAGGGCATTTCCCAGAATCGTGGGGTTTGCGGGCAAGCGTTTCCTCTTCTCCCCTCCCCCTTTCTTTTTTTTTGCTCCGGCTCCAACTTTCGCGCGCTTTCAGCTTGTTCTTCACAGCCCCATTTATTAAACTGAGCTAGCGTGTTTGATTCTCGACTCAGAACCAGAGTTTTCAGCGTTCTCTTTTCCTTTTTTTAAATTGAACATTATGCGGTTGCTTATCAAAGAATAGCCGGCTCTGTTCTCAAAACTTTTATCAGAACCAGCGTGTTCTACGCAGTTCCATCACCTCCCGTGAGGAATGCAACGCATTTGAGGGCCTTTTGTTTTTTAGAATTAATTTTTCTCTTTCGAGAGATTTGTTTCAACCAGCATGTTCTTTTGGCGCTCAATTTTCATTGAGACAGCCCTTAACTTCCGTGACGAATGCAAAGAATTTGCAGACCTTTTGTTTTAAAGGCCATCATAATGAATCATTATGCCCCCAGAAAACGAAATCCCGAGGAGGAACTCTGGTAACTCGCCCATGTATTAAGGAAAGTACTTACGGCCGCGAGGAATTAGCATAAGTATCAGGCCTTCCTAAGGGGCTACGGGAGAGGAAATTGCAGATTTTCGCATCCATCTTTCCCCTTTTCCCTAGAAACGCCTGATGCTCAGGCTACGAGGAATCGGTAGGTAATGATGACGTTTCTATTGTTTGCGCCCGCAAGTACGAATTTATGAAAGGAGTAACAGCGGTTACCCAATAAAGCCAAAAAAATCAGTGAAACGACAAACAGACACCAAAACGCAGTGGAATACATTGCAGGTAAGTCTTTTTTATTCATTTCATTTAAGAAAAAGTAAGGTTTAGTGTTATTTAGCGTTCGCAGATCTCAGTAATATATTTCTCATACAAAGTCTCTTATATTTTCAACGGTCGTCTGTAACGCGACACCGGCGCGTCATCTATGGTATGTAAATTACATCACACTCTTCCCTCGTAACGTGAGTTTTGGCCGCCTGTGCAGAAACCTTTATTTTCATCCCATTTAATGTCATTGTATGCTATTTCAGATAATTTGTTTTCATTTTTGGTTAAGGTTAACCAGAACTTTAGGTTTCTAAAGTTGGGCTTCAATTCTTATTGGAAACCTTCCTATCTCAGCCCTGCATGCATTGTTATTGCGGTATTTATTAAGGCCCAGCAACCACTTCAAGAATTTATTTGAAACTAATTCTGCTGGATCCTTTTCTAATTGTCCCGCATTGCAATCAATCCCCCATACTTTACTCGCATGGGAGATATCAGTGCATCAAATAACTTCATCGTTAATTTTATTTTTATATTTTGTCAAAAGTGGTTTCCCATCTCTTTTCGTAATTTATAGAGAGCTTTGAGTGCAACATTCTTCAACTCTCGCCTAGCGAGATTAAAGTTTTCATATTAAGGACTCATTATTAGTCTAAGATATTTGTAGGATTTGACGTTTTCCAGCTCATCAGCGCCGTATCTGAACGAGTAGTTGTTTAAAGACTTACCACAGTTACTAAAAATCATAATTTTTTGTCTTGTCTAAATTTACACTTAAATCGGCATTTTTACAGAAAGATTCCAGCTTATCAAGGATCATGTGAAGGCTTTTTGCTGATCTAGAGAAAATCGCTAGATCGTCCGCATATAAGAGACAATTTATAGATTTATCACTTAGCATAATGTCGGTTGAACTCTCGGTATTTAGGAATTTTGGTGGATCACTTAGATAGACATTAAAAAGAGTAGGTGACAACATGCAACCTTGGTCTACCCCGGCATGATAAGTAAAGGATCGGTTAATTTGTTATCAATTTTAACTGGCGATTTATCATTTGAGTACATGGATATTAAAACGTCTAAGAAATGTCCTTGGACACCTTCTTTCTTAGTTTGTCGAATAGTTTCTGTCGAGGTATACAGTCGAAGGCTTTTCTAAAATCGACGAAGCATGAAAAGAGTAAATTTCGGTGATTCTATGGTTTAGATTTCATGTACTTGTCAATTAGCACTTTTTAATGTGAAGATGCTATCAACTGTGCCATGCATTTTCTGAAGCCACCTTGTTCAGCTTTCAAAATTCCTTTTTGGACCATATTACTTCCTGACAAATGCGCTGGGGGTGGGGGCGGGGGGGAGGGATAGGCGCTTTTGGAATTGACTTATATGAACCAACATCGGGACATGGAGGCGATTAAATGCTTCCCCCTTTCCTAGAGTAATGGGGATTTGTTTCGTATGTAACAGTTCATTAATTGTAAACAGCTTATCACACATCATAAGAAGTAAGTTTCTAAAAATGGGAAGTTTCGTGCGACTAAAATGTGTTAGTAAAGTACAGCTTGGCAACGGAAATCACCGCTAAACACAGACCCAGCTAACTTCCTTACTCTGATAATGCTTATGCTAACTTTCTTTATGTCATAAGAATGTTATATACCGTAAACGATCTAATAAACGCCCACTCTCAAATAAACGCCTCTTATCTAATAAACGCCCCCCTTACTCTATTAAGTTAGTATTAAACGCCCCTGTCTAATAAACGCCCCCTTGAAAATTGCCCCCAAATACTAGGAAATGGCGAAATAGAGCAAAATCAATCAATTTATTAATTTCATTGCTTGATTTACATCAATTTGTGTATTATGTCATGCTCAATTTCTAGATAAGCCGTCAGCCCGCAGTCAAGATTCTGTTAACACAAAAACGTTTTTAGCCGAAAGAATACTGTATACAGTTACGTTGAGTTCGTTAAAATAAGTTATGAGAATAAACGCCTCTCTAAACGCCCCCTCTTGGACCCCTAAAATTAAATAAACGCCCCGGCGTTTATTAGATCATTTACGGTACCTTTCTCACGATGAGTACCATCTTCAAACTTAATGCGGGGAACACTTACCTGCCTTTCTTGGTTTCTTGTGAAAAGTGCTTTGATCGGGCCTTAAAGGATCGAATTTATAAGGTCCGAAATAATTTGGCACGCGATCACCTAACAATGATATTAAATTAATAGGGAACTTAGGCAACGATGACAGCGACGTCAACTAGAACGACTGAGATATTAATAGGGAGTTTAAGTAACGACGACAGCAACGTCAACTAGAACGACAAAACAGCAATTGGCTCAGATTGGCAAAACAACAGCTCTGCACGTACATCACGCTTGTTTGTACATATCTTTTCCGACACTGCACGACTACGACGTGAAAATGCGTAATTTCGCGTTTTGTGGAGGACTTGAACAGAAAACTACTTTCTTTTTTTTTTTTCCTGAACTTCGGTACAGTCTTTTAGAATTCGACTCCAGAGAAAATTGCCAAGAGATATTAATAGGAAGCTTAAGCAACGACGACAGCGACGTCAACTAGAACGACAAAACAGCAATTGGCTCAGATTGGCAAAACAACAGCTCTGCACGTGCATCACGCTTTTTTGTACATTTCTTTGCCATCACTACACGACTACGACGTTTTGTGGAGGACGTGAACACAAGACTACTTTCTTTTTCTTTTCCTGAACTTCGATACAGTCTTTTAGAATTCGATTCCAGAAAAAATTGCCAACATTTGACGAATTTTATAAGCGCAATTAAGTTTGAATCAGCGCGACGCCACTTTTTAAAGGAGCTTAAGCAACAACGACGGCGACGGCGACGGCTACGAAAACGTCACTTAAAAGGTGACGTCGCGCGGCTTCAAACTTTGTGGCGCTTTTTCCATCTCGTTATCAAAATTCGTCAAATGTTGGCAATTTTTTCTGGAGTTGAACTTAAAGACTGTATCGAAATTCAGGGAAAGAAAAATAAAGCTGTTGTCTTGTGTTCAAGTTCTCC